GGAGACGGCAGGAATGTGCCGCTGGGCTCTGGGCAGGATCAGGCCCTGCGGTGCTGGCACAGGCTGACGCTGGGTTAATGGGACTGCGGCCGCAGAGGAGGAGGGGGCTGACACAGACACTGCGAGGAGCAGCATCCACAGGGACAAATTTTCCTTGGCACCTTCTCCGATAGCATCGTTCCTCCTTTCTCTGCCAAACCCCGATTGTTGGGGATTAAACCTCCTTCTCCGCGTGCGCAGAGCCTCAGCGGGGATGGGCAGGGCACCCCACACTCGCTGCACCCCTGCTTGCTCTGCCCAGCACAAAAAGGGTTTAGAAAGCTGCCGGTGGCCTGGAGGGCACAGCGTGGGCTGAGAAGCTTTTCTTCCAGCCATCCTTGGGAAAGCCGGCGGGGACACAGCTGTAACAGCCTGGGGGATGTGCTCGGCAGGGAGCTGTGGCATGTCTTGGCAAAGCAGCTCCTTGGGGTCAACCCAAAGGTTCCCCAGTGCCCGCCCCAGGCAGGGGGCAAAAGCACGTGTGAGGTGCGGTGGCACCCCAGAACTGCTGGCTGGGGATGCACAGGCAGGGATCTCTGGCTGGAATAGTGTCCAGGATGGAGTTTCCCCTCTCTGGAAGTGCCTGGTCACTCCTTGGAGCCCTGGCAAACCTGTAGCACCGGTGATGCCCTGAGGGAAGCGGTTTCACACCCTTCCCACATGCCGAGTGGATGGTTTAATTCAATGTCCCCTAGTTCCTGCACCAGCAGAAACCACGAAGGGGTCACACCCCTCCCCAGCACTGATCTCCGTCCCTGGCATCATCCCTCGGCTGGATGCTCTTTGATTTGCCTGGTTTGACCAGGGCAGGGTCCCAGAGTGGGTTTGGTGCGCCCTGGCACGCCCTGCGCCGAGATCCGCTCCCCCAGCAGCACCAGCCTCCTCTTCCCCTCCTGCTCCCTTCTCTAAAACCTGAAATTGAGAGTGAGATTGGGGAACTTTTTGCACTTCATCAAGTTATTCCAAAGAGCAGGTGGGGAGGAGGAGAAGCAGCTGTGGGGCAGAGCAGGTGAAGGTCTGGGGTGCAGCAGCACGCCTCATTTCTGATGGGGGATCCCACAGCGAAGGCGATGCCTTTCTCCTCTCACCAGTACAAATAAACCCTTCCTGTTTCCTTGCAATAGCGACTCTTGCATTGAGCAAGGCCGCTCCCAAAGCAACCACCACACAGGTTGCAGGGTGTGAGACAAAAGCCTGCAGCAACCAGGAAAAAAAATTCCACCTCCCTGTGCAGGGTTGCACAAACAATCCCGGCAAGGGCTGGTGCTTTTCCTCCTTCCTCCGAAACACCGGCCGCCCTCCTCGCAGGTATTCAGATACTATGGAGATAGACTGTAATGAGCTGTAATAACACACACGAACGCCAGGATCTGTTGGTTCGGCACCTTTCAATAACAAGTTTTTCCCTTCCAACCTACCCGTGCACTCAAGCATGGAAATAAAAATACTTCCGAGCTGAATGGCTGTCACGTAGGAAGGTGGAGGGCGGAAGACCGTGGAGAGCACCCTGGCCTGAGGGCCAGCACAGCACTCGCCGCGGCGCCAGGCAGCACCCAGCCTTGCTGGGGGTGCAGACGCTGCCCAGGGCCTCCCCGAAATGCAGGATGTGGGGTTTGGTTCAG